CACACAGGATGCAGCCTCACTGCATGATATGCTCTTGTCTGAGAAAAACACAAGACAGATTGAGCAGAGAGAGACATGGGAGAGTTTGGCATAGAAACCAACCACCAACAAGCATTTTGGCATTGCTGTTTGCATCACACATATAAATGCTGATAATGGCTTAAGTAATTCACATAGGCCCGACGTAGAGCCATCATACAACTTTAAATCAGCCTTAAGGCTGAGTCCTTGTGACAGCACCAGGTTTGCCTCCAACCTGAAGCAAATTTGAAGAGTGAGGGCAGCTGGATGTGAGCACTTCAGGCCATTCCAGTGTGCAGTGTGATGTGGCAGTGATGACTTTTGGACTGGCCAGAAGCCCAGGAAATGGGCTTTCATGGTGTATTTTTGAGCCAGAGTGTAGCGCTAGCGTAAAAGGACACATCAGCCGAGACAGAGCACACAGACTGATGTACAGTATTTTACCTTGAGGCACACCCACCTTCATCATCGATCCACTTGAGCGTGATGGGCTGCTGCTTGGCAACGCTGCACATTGTTCTCACCTCCTCACACAACTCCACAAAGGTTACCGTGGCTGCCAAGTCTGTGATCAGCATGTCCCTGAATGCACACACACACACACACACACACACACAGAAAAATGTCAAGATTAAGTCACTTGAGTTACACTGTTTTAGCAGAGCAGAGATCAAGACATCCCCCAGGGGTTTAAAAGGAGTCAATTCATTCACGATTATTGAACCTTCCCGACGGTCTGATATTGTAAGATACAGACAAGGAGGCTCGCTCCTATGTTATCGGTCGATTAGTTAGCTGTTATCTGGCTACAGAGTATTTGGACGTGCAATTCACTGGGCATGTCTGTTTTGTGTATTGGCTCAGGTCAGTCTTAGCTGTTTACTAGCTTGTACAAAAGTTAACCATCAGAGTAGATTATGCAGCTGTTAAATAGCATCAAATAGACAAAATTAAGAGGCACTCTACTGATTTTGGACCTAAAGATCAGTTTACTAGTCAGCGTTGTGGTTGTCTGCTATTGTTTTGATGGGAAAGATCCCCTAGAGGCAGAAATGACATACTGTGCATTTAACTGCACTTAGCTCTGCGGTGAAAGTAAAATCAGAAGCCACAAAGATTCTCCTAACCATCTCAATAAAAATTATTCTGTGTGCTGCACAGATATATAACTCATTTCACAAATTTAACTTTAAAAATGTAAAGTTTTGGCTCACATCCTACAAAATGAGTAATGCCATATAGTATTTCAGGCTGTCACCTTGTTTGGAATAATAAATAGTGTTGGTACTTCTAAATAGGATGAAAATCTTTTTTATCGTGCAGCGGAGCAAATATTTTTCATTCAGATGGTTGGAAGACACTTGGAGGATTGTTGAAATGCTTTCAGAACATCCATTAGTGGTTTTAACAACCTGGATTATTCAAAGATTCACGGATATTGATATTCTCCCTTTGTCTGTGTTGCTATTGCAGCCTCTCAGTGGTTTGTGCAAAGACTAACAAAGATGGTTTTGGTGAACTTTCTTTTTTTTTTCTGTCCACTCTGAATTAAGTTATGATGTTAAATTGATATGCAAGGTAAAATTATCGTATTTGTCTATGGAGTCTGGTGGCAAGTGTTATTACGGCTGTTTCTGGTTAAACTAAAGCTCTATCTCTGTAGGGATCCTTTCCATCATGTTGTCAGACAGAATAACAATAAAATACAACAGGATTAGCGAACGCAGCTATTTCCTCATCTAACTCAGTAAATTAAAAGTTTATTCTGACCAAACCAGACTTTGTGATTGTTGGGAAGACTGCGAAAAGAGCAAGACATTTTTGGTGATTTTTACTTTGTTTATGTCCAGTTTGAAGTGTGTTTTATGATTATCTGTTAGATAAAATTACTGGTGTTGTCAATGGAGTCTGGTCGGCCGTAGCGCCCATTGTTTTGGTCGGAGATGCCGGTGCTCTAGCATTTTGCTCCTGAATCCTAGAGAACCCAGTGTTCTCAAGCATTACATTATTTCTAAACACAAGCAGCTGAAGAACATTGCCTTAATACGGCACATACTGTACATTTGTGATTCAGGAACAGTTGGATGAAGGAAGAGTATGACTGACCAGACATTTGATGTGAACTTTAATACAGACACTTTTCAATTGGTACCAAAAAAGACAGACAAGAGATTTTTCCAATCATAAATGGTTGAAGGATGAGCTTAGGAGCTGAGATGTACTGACTGTGCTCTGGTTATCGAACAAATCACAACTCGTAAGAAATCCCTGGAAAGACAAAGTTGGCAAGTTGAGTCAGAATGCTTTGCTAAATATTGTAAAGAGAGACTTTGTACTAATTTGAATACTAAAGCTGTAAACTATAGGGCTGGGACAGACACTGGTTGAAACCAATTGCCATAAATTCTTTACCATCCCTGATTCTGAATGCTGAAAAGAAACAGAAAGCACCAAGTGGCTAAACTCCATATAGGTACTGGCCTACCAAACACCCTTATCAGTGGATGATTCTTTTAAATATGGGAGTGCATGTTCAGTTTCAACATCAACCCCCACTGCTCTGCTGCTGGCTGAATGTGACATTGTGGGCAGAATGTATTCACATTCAACAGTGCAGCTGCAGAAAATCACAGTTTGAATGCAGACGGGGCCGAGCATACAGCTGAATATGTGTTTGAAACAAATAACACCACCTGAAACATGCTTCTGAATGTGTAAGCGCAGGAGCTACAATGACTGAGCCCACGTCAGTGTGTCTGACAGGTTTCTGGGTGTGTGTGTGTGTGTGTGTGTGTGCGTGTATTTATGGCGTGTGTTTTTTGGACTCTGACAAGGTGGAGCAGAGACAGCTTGCTTCCCAGCAGGCAATGCTCCACACAATGTGGAATGATGTAACCCACACACACACCCATACACACACAGAGATGTTCCCATACCATTTTTTCCTTCCTGATTCTGATTCCTGAACTGCGTATACACACACAGCTATTTATGTACATTACATACATTTCCACATTAAAATGTCTATGACTAATGTTATGCTATCAATACACCTATGTTCTGTATGTAGTTGAGTTGTGTTCTTCCATTATCGGACGTCTGGATCTTAAGT